TGTGCTGGGATCGCGGACGTGAAACGCGCGTCTTCTTCGCTCTTGCTCATAATATACCAGGAATTGGGTTTACTATTTCTTTTCATTATTCAGATTAAGGTTGCTATCTAGGCACGTACGCTTACGTATCAAACTTACAATCGATATCCCACTGATCAACACAGCGCCACAGATTACTGAACACAGCGTCCGGCAAGGACCGTATTCGATTAGTTTGTCGGTAGTGTTCCGGGTAGTGCCCAGAAGGTAATTTCGTTACTATTAGACACATGGAATTCCATAGTTGTGACCAGGTCATTGATATACATTATAACTATTGTAACAGTATTATTTATTTATTTAAACGTTACGGATCGTTATGTTAAGGGCAACTTCAATAAATAAAACAAAACATCTTTTACCAAGAAAGGCCCCTCAATAGGAAAGTCCTGTGTCGCGGATGCCATTGACACACAAATTACACCCGAAGTCGCAAGATAAATGAATGTAGGCCATACAAACGTTTTTTCCCGGCCCGGGTGTCGAACCCGGGACCTTTGCGCGTCAAACCAGGACGGTGACCGTTCCGCCACAGAGGCTGTAAAAAATACATTAAAATTAAAACCATCTGTCATCATCATACTTAAAGATTCATGTGCTATCGATCAAAAGACATATTTCGTCCCGTTGCTCAATGAATAAATTTATTATAATTTATTCATAATAATACGTTTCTCATTATTCAACCAAAATATATTTATAATTTATTCATAAGCACATTATAACAAAAAAAAATTAGCAGAATCTTGTGCTAATTAAAAGGATGAGATGGTGCCTCAGAAAAACGCGTACATGATGCGTACATCTTAATAAGATAGACATAAATGCAATATCTGACATTAAGTAAGATGTACGTTCTCATTCCCACTCAGCTTTTAAACGCATACATTCTCTATTACGAATGTGAACTGGAAATCGGTACTATCTCAATTTTGACAATTTTACAGGTGAAGAAATAAATTGTATGCGTCATTTATGTAGCATCTGGTTTATTATATAAGATGACGTATTTTTAAAATATATATATTACACACGTATTAATGTACACTACGTATTTTTATTTAATAAACCAAATGCTATATAAATGATTTTATCTTCATCCTGTGTTGTTGTCAAAATTGAGATAGTACCGGTTGCCAGTTCGCAGTCGATTAATCGTCGTTTGTCTTCCTAAATTATATAAAAATATCACTCAATGTTAGAAAGATATCGATACGAGATACAGTCAAGACATGAAGTTCGAAACGGAAAATGAATGGCCTGAGAAATTTACTTATTGCTAGGTAGTCCTTACGGTAAAAGTTGTGTGGTTTTGTGTAATCTGTTGGTGTGCCTATAAGTTCGAATCAAATATGAGGAACGTTCAGAACGCCATATCAGGTCTGTCTCGACTGTTATTCAGTGCGTTGTTTTTGTTTTATAGTGAAAATATTTTTTTTACATTTCTCGGTAATATTCGTGTTTCGGTTTTTGTTGGAACTCGGATTTCTATCAGTAACCCTTTGCACTTGCTGCACGCCGGACGCATTCAATTGACTTGGAATTACACAGGGTTTTTTGTAAAATACTATTTTTTTTATAGATAGAAATTGGGTAGGGTTGCCAGTTTTCGTAAAATGTTAAATAGTCATGTACTTGCTGTCGACAATTTTATCGATAGATTGTGCAGCACGTAGCAGTTGGACGAATATGGGCCGGTGATAAATAAATAAAACAAAACAAGACAAAAAAAAAAAAAAAACAAGTTTGACTATTTATTTCATAAGCCTAAACAACATTCAGTCTGCATAATATTTATTGTCTTCAATCACTAGCTGCTTGCATGCGGGCAACACGCAATGAACTGTCATTTTTCTCCATTTTGAAAAAAAAAAAATTATATAACGACCTCGCAGGACTATATTACTAACATTATGAACAACAATTTTTGTTCCGTAACTTTTTATAAAACAAAATATTAAGTTTTTGTTGTGCTATTTGATGCTTTTTAGGTCTGTATTTGGTAGTACGTGCACACGAGCAAGCGTCTTGCACGAACGACCCCCGCACCACTCCTGCATTTTGCATCCTAGCGGCGTGGAGTTTAGAGCGGTCTATATAATGTTTTAATTTTCGTACAAAAGTAAAATCCGATGAATTATTTAAAGCACAAGGAACACAAATTGTTGTTTATGATATTAGTAATAATGATCCTGTGAGGTTGTTAGCATTTCACAAATAACATGGACAACAATAGAGTTATTACTAGTCTTTATTATTAAATTGTTTTTGAAAGTTTTACAGCTATAAAGCTGTGGCTATAGTTCACATGGAAATCGAAACACAAAATAATAATGAAGTACTAGACAAGGAAATTCGGAAGATATTAAAGAAATATTTGTACTGTGGGATCTTAATATCGATCCTGTACTTGGTATTTATAAACAAGGGCCTGTGTGAAGTTTACTTACTCAGAAAGTGTAAGCCTACAATAAAATACATTTGAATGAATAATTCTCAAATATGGTCTACAGTCGTAGTTTAAATTTGTTTACCATATAACATTAACAACACAAGTAATAGTTATGTATTTAAATTTTATCACTTAACAGAAGGTGCCCTTTTGCTTTAACATTTGTTACTTAATAGGTATGATTTATAAATTTTGGTGACAGTGTTACTAACTCTATATTGCAACTTATTTAATTTTTCTTAATAATAAAAATAGAAAAGTATTATTTAATTATTTATTATTATTTAAACAGAGAGGTTTTACGTATGTTTATATTGTAATGGCTTGTGGCGTTTTTGTCTTCGTTTTTGTATTTATTAGTTGTAATTATTTATTGTAAGTCATTCGTTTTTTATCTAACTAGTTAGATAATTATTCATCACGTACGTACAAGCCTACAGCAAAAGATTAGCACTTACTAAAGTAAATAGTGAATACTCGTGAAATATATCAAATAAATTGTTGATGTATTTAGCTTTAGACTAATGGAATTGCCTAGTTGCATAAGCTACTTAGTTATTCACCAAAATGAATAGGTATTCTATTGTGTATAAGTAAAATCGATACCTATAAACGATGTATTGTAAAGTCTCCTTTGTCAGGATTGCACTTGAGTTACAATTTTGACGTGAATTTTACGCTATTACTAATATAAAAATCGAACTCGGGAAGACCAATTTTTTGCTTTAAATCGGATTTTTCAATTGTAATGGATTATATTCCTCTGATTCGATCCATAGATTGGATCGTATCCTTTTGAATTGATCTCCAAAAATCGTTTTAAAATTACAAAAACAAAAAAAAAATAATTTTGACAGCTTTTTTGGGCTTCAGTCGTTAACGACATTCATTTAGTCTAGTCATTGAGAAAACACGTTGAGATGGCACAGAATTAGCGGCAATCGCCAAATATTAGTCAATCGAACCAGTGACTGTTTGTCAGACCGGGGCTACCGGTCTCCCAACCGAGCTACGGAACGAATCTGCAGACCTCACGAATGTCTCTATGTACTTGATGCATTTTTCTTCACTAACTTTTTGTCAATATTGTAAGTTAAGTCCATTACTGTTTATGAGACTTAATAAGTACGCACCAAACTAGGAAAGTCGCTATGTATGATCATAGCACTGCTCTATAGTTTAAGTTTGTTTAAATGAGTACAAAACCCGTCATATACAGGGTGTACTGAAACCTTTGCTTCCTCATACAAAACGCGTCCAGTCGTATAGGAAATTTGTATGTGGAACCAACTTTACTTGCGCTTTGTTTCTTGTTATCACAACTACAATAACTAGATTCAATTTATTAATATGATTAGATGTTTTTATTACACCTATATGTATAAACATATTTATATGTGTCGTCCGTATTTACTTCGAATACTTGATTGTATGAATATGTGTGTTTGAAGAGAACCAAGCTCTCTTGTAGTTTCCTACCTTTTAGTACGTACATTATTTATTGGTGGACCAGTACCTCCTCTTTTGTCTATGACACATTTTAGTTCTTTTTGTGACCGCCAAGTGTGATGCTCGCTTAACCATACGTATTGGCAGATATTTGACGCTGTTGGTTGAGTCTATAAACACTGTAGATTTGAAGAAGGTACACTGAACCTTAAAAAACATATTAACACTTCCAGTAAACAGTTCTCCTTTTAAGTTTCGTCGTTATTTTGGAGTATTCTGACGTCTTAATAAGAAAGGGTGCACCTAATATTTTTTTGCCTTACAGGTGCCCCTTGTTTTTATTCGAAATCTTGAATTTTTTCTTGTTTAGGATAACCGACGAGTTCAGTCACTAAAAATTGCAAAAGTTACTTATATAGTTATTTACACATTTAATTACATGCAGTATGTCACACCTGTCTGCCACCAGTGTAGGCGCATACTTTTTTGTTTTTCTACTTTGCGCTTTAAATGGTGGGTACCATTTCTTTATTAGAATAAGCAGCATTACCGTTTTCAATTATTTAAGACAATCGATAACTTTGTTGTGTTCATCTTTTTATGTGAAATTAATTAGAGGTCCGTGAAATAGTGAGTAATAATTATATCACACAATACATAACGTATAGCGAACGCTTTAAAATAAGATTAAAAGTTGTTTGACCTCTCGTGTCAATAAGAATAATATTATTAAGTTAATATAACCATATAAGTATGTGTGCGCGTATTCAAGGCCTTTTTATTTTCCTCAATCGACTTTAAGAGGTAAATCCGGCGAATCTGCGTATAATACAATGTTACTCTTCTCATCACCAGCTGCCATATCTGATATTTTTTGTCGTAACGACGATACGATGTTACAGCTTTCAGAAGCGAACATTTTCCATTAATCGTCATATACCTACTAACTGTTTAAGATGGAAACCGAAAATTCGTCGCCCGGAGCAATTCGCATATTGTTAGTTACAGCAGTTGGTGAAGAGAAAGAGCATTTTGAAATTACAATAAGAATAAATTATCGTTGTCCAATTGACATAATTGATAAAAAAAAACCTACTTTATAAGTATTATGCTGGCTTCCCATGGCCCGTTTTTCAGAGGCCGCTCCGCTTCGCCCCGATTAATTAAATGGGCGAGTCGTATTCTGGAGTGTGTCGAGAGCTCTAATCTGGTTTGAGCTGCCATTCGGAAATGTCATGTGAAGAACGCATAGCTGTTTCTGCAACCACTTTGTATTGTTCAGTGGATACAACTTACTTAACAAAAATAAGAAGAAAAGACACCGCTTCTGGGTGTTATCATTCAACAAGAACAGGTCGAGATAAGTTATCAAGATTTTGTTGAATTGAATGTACTACGCAATTCGCTTTACCGATCCATACTAATCATTCAAATGAACGTTCGAGCGGCCCTTTGAACCTCGAAAACACGGGCCGTGTGAAACTGCCTTAAGTATCGTCATAAAATCTATTTAGTGATTGGCACAGTGCAAAGCAATATGGTTAATTTTTTAAACTATGGTTAAAAGTGGGTAAAGGTTATCACATATTATTACGTTTTCTGCATCACATTTGCATTAATGTACAACATTGACAAGTTAACAGAATTAAAACATATCTTTATAATGAAAACTTTACGAAAAACTTAAAATTTTATAAACATAATGTAACTTTAGAAAACATTATGCTATTATCAAATATAGTGTAAAAATACTATTTAGTATAAGAATGCTTCCTTTTTTGTAAAAGTGAGCTGCAGAAAAGAAACATTTTTGTGTATATTTTTCTGCAACTAGCTTGAAAACTCAAGCCAGTAGATTTTTACATTTTTATACTTTCTAAATGTCCGGGAAAGCAAAGCTTGAGTATGCAGAAATTATATACGAATACGATAATAATTTAAAAAAAAAATGTTTTTTTATTCTTATCACACAAGCATAGCGTTACCCTTAATCTTCGAAATTGTGTAAAAGGTACGAATACTGAGATTGTGGCATGGTTGTGTATTTATTTTTTATATTTTTGTTAACACCGGTTATATCATAATTTTCCAAGCTTGTTTCTCTTTATTTTTCAAACACGTCGCCCCTTTCCTGATCAACCGCCGTAACTAACATTAAGACAATATTTCACAACTTTATTTCCATTTAGCCACATTATGAGCTGTTCGTAGATTCCTCTATCGAGATTTTTTTTTTAAACTTAAATAGGAGTATTCTATATACTGTTTATAAGGTACGTCAAAAATGTAAGATACGGCTCTTTGTGAAGAGAGGGTGCGACATATGCATATTATTATAGCTGTAAATTACCAAAATTGGCGTTTAAGTGCATGAATGACTACGTTCATATTTTGAAATTATTTTTACAAATAGGCGATTCTGTTTTTGTTATTTTTTCTTTTTTGCATGTCAAATTTAACCTTTTTTTTGTGTGTAAAAATAATCGAGTCCTTTTCTTGAGTAGGTGCCATGATATTGAAAGTTGTTAAACGACTACTTTTCGATTAGTAACTTGTCACGGCATGAAACTAGAAAAGGGCTCTATTTCTATTTGTCTAATTATTAGAATGAGAACCCAGTTGCTAAGTTTCCTACACATTATAAGCTTTTAGTGTGTATTGTGTTTTCTATTTGCCGATAATTTGATTTACGAGGCATATATTCATATTGTTCAATGTTTCAGGGTCTCAATGGGGCCAGGAGCGGAAGCCGATCAAATCGGAACCAAGCGGTGAGTGATCCGTAAAGTTTTATTGAAGAGTCAAAAGTTAGAAGTTATTGAACAGAAACGATAGAGCCAGTAAAAAGGTTTTTTTATCTCGTTTTTCTCGTGGCTTATAACTATAAAGAAGTTTATTTTTTAGTTAACGCTAAATAAAACTTTAAAAGATATTTCTAAACGTAGAAGAATAGTATGGACCTTTCTAAATTATATTTTTCCATTTTTCGGGAAATGTTCCAAAAATTAACGCTATTCGAAACTATTCGGAAAATTTGCCAACAGTAGTGGTGACTGTGGATCTTAGGGCGCATTCCCATTATGTCGTGACGACTGGATCGTCGAGCAGTTTAAAGTGCCGTGGCATGTATAATCATATTTAAATGAAGTTGTCACACATAGAACAACACGATTAACTGTCGTTCACGACTTTTTTATCATTACGACGACAGATCGTCGTGACAATAGGAAGAGCTAGAACGATAGGCGTCCGACGATAAATAAAACGTAACGATAAAAAGTGTGACGACAAATAATCGCAATTTCAAACGATTCTGTCGTGCAAACAACAAGGTGGCTGCCGTGAACCGATAACTTGTTGTCACGATCTAGTGGTAACAACTAGACACGACGATCGTTCCAACGATAAAATAAATGTCTACGACACAGTCACGACAGATAGTCGTGATATGGGAATAGGCTAGACGCGACAGTCATCCAACGATAAATAAAATGTTACGACATAATGGGAACGCGCCCTTAACCTTTTCGAGCAGTTTAGTACCGCGTGTCCCCACTAGATGTCACAACTTGTTTGTTGAAACGCTCAATTTTATTAACAAGTTATTTATAAAGGTTCATCATCGTGTTAGTTTTTGAAGATATCTAGTAACGTCCTGAGCCGAGTCTGGTATATCCTTAAAAAAGTTTGGGGTTAAATAAATAATTGTTAGCTTCTTAACCCGCTAAGTTATGATATCTGCCTTTCTCTTCGTTCACCCCATGTATGTACATTGTTTCCTATTAATATTGCAAGAGCATCGTTCTTTATGTAGTATTCCAATTTAATATCATATGACTCTTTGCGGTTTCAGCAGATAAGTCGCCGATGCACATGACGAGTCCACATCACGTATTCCCGCCTATAGAGCAGGTTCCGGATAATTCCTATCAAATTCAGGTAAGACAACTTCTTACTAGTATAGCTCCGCCTCCACAGCGCCTGAGAAAGGCTTGAAGACGCCAACCTCCGTGTATAGCATAGTACAGTGTGGAAAAACTGAGTCCAAATAATAAGCTTTTCTAACCAAAGCTATTCCCAATATATTTACGCTTTGTCTTTGAGATTTGTAGAAACCAAGGTTTCTTTAAACGCTGCTAAGATATTCAATTAGAATACGTACTGCGTCATAAAAACAGATCAATTCCACCCAGATCTAGATTAAATCTGCCACACGTTATGGCCACCAAAATCTATAACATATTGCCTGATCTATTAAAAAACGTGTCCGACAGGATGGCTGGACCAAACGAGTAAAGCAAATCAAACTGTGCTCATTATTGAGTACCTATTTTCTAGTATTGAGTACCTTTATTGACTTATTTTGTACCTTTGCGCTAAAGGAAATATGAAACAAATAAAGTGGCCAGCCATTCTGACGTCAGGTTGGCTGGACCACTTTACGTTTTTCATGGTTCTAGCAGTATATAATTTACTTTTTTTATATGACTATTTACTACCTAATTTCTACCTAAACATACGTTTTTTCACTATTTTAGGAAGCTTCTATATAAAGTTATTTTAAAAAGATAATAAAACGCCTTTGCAAAAGGTATCTTCTAAAAAGACAGTTTATCCTTTCCGTGTAATTGCTAACAATACGCTTTTGCAGGCGCTTAGAATATGGTATGAAAAAGGTAGAAAATATGCCAATAAAGGTACTAAATAGTAGAAAATTGGCATTAACCTACATGAAAATGGGTAGTAAATAATGAGCACAGTTTATTTTGTATATCTGGTTCGGTCCAGCCATCCTGACGGACACTAAAAAAACTATATAAATCATAAAATGTTTAAAAAATGTTATAATATTAATGAATTCCTAAACAAAATCTTCTAACCCAATGGTACACTTGAAAAAAGGTCTCCTTTTCTTCTTTGTTGTGCCCAAAACAGTACCGTGATGCGATTCGTTTACTGTATAATGCCTTGGACAAAGAACATTGAATTACGGAGAAGCCTCCGCCGGGACACGGTACCCCATGGCGGGCCTTCGACGAATATATTTATGCGATGTTATACATTTTTCCTATAAATTTTAGTGTGTATGTATTAGACCTGTGTCGGTCGATCATTTTTGATAACCCGGGTCAAATGATTCGATCATAAATATGTTCGATCTTTTAGCGGGTCACTCGTCGCCCACGATATTTTTATATGGCGCGACATTTAAAAGTGTCAAGTTATACAATTAACTTTTATTCTTTCCTGCTCATGAGTAATGTGTATAAAGTGGAATGCATCATTGATAAAACACACTTAGGACTCTAAAATTTCTTTCTAAGAAAAATAACACCTATAAAACAAAAATACATAACAAAAAACTTATGAGCATTCTAAATTATTAATTTATTATTCATTAATAATAGGGGTTAAAGTATGAAATTGCCGATTTGTACTGAAAATCTAAATTGTTTATTTTTTAAATTTTTAACAAATTTATTTAATCAAAATAGTTGCCATTATTATCTATACATTGGTGCCATCTAATGGGAAGGTTATTAATGCCTTTGCGATAGAACTCCGACGATCTAGACTGCACAAACTGTGTGAAAGCATTTTGTACTGCCTCCTGGGAAGAAAACTTCTTGTCACGTAGATAATTGTCCAAATCACGAAAAAAATGGTAGTTCGTTGGAGCAAGGTTTGGTGAATACGGAGGATGACGAATGGTTTCTAACTGCAGTTCCTGAAGGGTCAAAATGGTTTCTCGTGCTGTGTGAGGTCTCGCGTTGTCGTGGAGCAATAATGGTGAAGATCGATTCATGAGTCGGGGCTGTTTTACTGCTAGTTTTGTCAACATGGTTCGGAGTTCGGCACAATAGACATCTGCCGTTATTGCTTGACCAGATCGGAGAAAACTATAGTGAATAACACCGTGCTGAGACCACCAAACAGTTACCATTACCTTTTTATTGGTAAGTTTTGCTTTAGGACACTGTTGTGGCATTTGACCTGGGGTCAGCCATTGCATTTTTCTTTTCCGGTTATCATAAAGAATCCACTTTTCATCACATGTTACAATTCGATCCAATATTCCTTCATTTCTGTACCGGTTCAACAAGACAACACAAGTTTCAACACGCGTTTCTTTCTGCAGATCAGTCAAATCATGAGGCACCCATTTTTCGTATTTTTTTATTTTATTGATTTGACGCAAGTGAGTCAATATTGTGGGTAAGGTAACGTTAAACCATGCCGCTAATTCCTGGGTAGTTTGACTAGGATCGGCTTCCACTATCTCTCTTAATTCATCGTTATTCACCTGTGTGGGCGGTCTTCCTCGTGACTCGTTCTTTAAGTCGAAATTTCCATCACGAAAGCGTTTAAACCAAAATCGCACGGTGCGTTCATTAGTAGACCCCTCTCCAAACGCAGCATTGATATTGCGGGCTGTTTCTGCCGCGTTAGTTCCGCGTCGGAACTCGTATTCAAAAATCACTCGAATTTTCGCAGTATCCATCTTTCTTGTCTAAATTGAATAACAAAAACAATTGAAAGTCGATATCCAAATGTTTCAAATTTAAAAAAAAAAAAAATCACAGAAACCATTTGAAAAAAGTTTCATTCGAAAACCTCAAACCATGAAGATTCTATGAAAATTCAAAGAACCTATTGCAATAAAACGGCAATTTCATACTTTAACCCCTAATATTTTAATATTACCTAGTGTACTCATAAATAATCACAACATACCGAAAAACAGATTAAACTAATAAAATTACCATGTTATGGACACTACGCCATGAAGCAATTAGGATGAATGATTAATAGACTCATTGATTCAGTTCCAGACTGTTATGTGAACTGTTGAATAATCTCTAAAATCATAGAGATAAAGTCGAATATAGTAGCGCGGAAGTATAAATTATAATAGAATGAAGTACTGTCAGAAAGTAGCGCGAAATGTTCGTTCGAGTAATCGGGCATGGGCTTGCAGCGCTGGGTGCAGGAGGCCATGAACGTGCCGGGGCCCAGCGGCCTGGGCTACCAGTTCGGGCCCGAGCTGGCGTGGCCGAGCCCCGCCTACGCGGCCGTGTCGCCGCCGGCGATGGCGCACTCGCCGGGCATGCTCTCCCCGCAGGCGCAGGTACGAGACCTCTTCATTTAACCCTCGCATATTTTCACACAAACTTTCCGGGACTTAGTACCACAAGTGTCTTTTCTTTGTACAGCTTAGAAAGTAATCGAGTTAGAGAACATTCACGTTGTTCGTGCAACTTGATATCCAGCGTTAAATGGACGTCACGCTCTTGTGAATTTCATTGCAAAATATATATATTAGAATATATGATTATGTATGTTAATGTTAATTAAATGATAAAATCTTAAAACTGTTATTTTTTAACACATAAGAATAGTTTCTTATGTGTTCCAATAGTAAAATTCAATTTGCCTCACCGTAACCACGTGGTAACCGCGGTGTGCCAAAAAAAGTAAAAGTGAAGTAGTGGGAAGTAAATTTTGCTATAATTATAAATAAATAATAAATAACGAAATGTTTATGTGATTACATGAAGCAAGTGATAACAACAAATTGATACGATTCAGGTAATGTCCCCGCAGCAAGCCATGTCTCCCCAGCACGTGCGGGTGATGTCGCCGCACGAGCAAGTGCTGTCCCCACAGGGTCAGGTACTGTCCCCGCAGGGTCAGGTACTGTCCCCGCAGGGTCAGGTACTGTCCCCGCAGGGACAGGTGATGTCCCCGCAAGGGCAAGTGTTGTCTCCGGGCCCGACACTGACGCCGCTGCAGGGGCTGCCGCCGATGCTGGGCCCGCAGATGGACGCGCGCTGCGGCATGGGGCACGTATCGCCCACCGTGGGACACGTCTCCCCGAATTTGGGGAATGTGTCTCCTCACATGATGCAACAGCCTTTACCTCAGGTGAGATCATCTCTGTCAATTTCATCCTTGCCATACTTGTTTTTTTTTTGTTTTCATACTTCGCGGTTAGTATTTACGTCACAACAAAAGGAGAGGGCCGTGGGTAAGTTTTTTAATTTTATTTCAACTTATTGGAAGACCATCGGCTATCTTACAGAGTAAAAACTTAAATAATAACGGAAAACCAATTATAGGTCCTCACCGACAGACACACATTAAGTTATGAGCATTCAATTATACTATATAATTACTAACTATACTACATACATTTTCGCAACACTTTTTACACTAATTACCACTCGCCAAAAAACAAACCACTAATAATACGCGTCACCGATGCAACACTAGTGTTAAAATGGTCAATATCAACCTGCTTGGACAATACATTGATGCTATTACGCGCACGTAACAGATTTACATTCCGCCGAAAATTCGAAGAGGCCATAGGTACGCACAAAAGTGAATTAAACCTAAGGGTCTCTAAGAGAAATCTTGGACACGAGTTCTGGAGAGTCATGACACCAGAAGCATGGTATACTTTGCCCTCGCTACCTTTTCAACAATTAACAAACACCCGCGCACACGCATGCAGGCACCTGTACTAAAAATACATATAATTCTGAAATTTGATAATGTTTAAGAACAAATGCACAAATTATAAGAAAGTTGTATGAAAAAACAAAGGTTTGTAACATTGTAATTTTTCCACCAGGTCCAAGACATGGAAACCAACAGCGCCTCGCTGACTAATCTCCTGAACCAAGGTGCAGAGTTGGCGCAAATACAATTGAACTCTGAAGAGTTGTCCGGTCTGCTGAACTACCCTAACTCACGTCCGCACGAGTTGACGGACTCGTTCCATCAACTCTCCACCTTAGACCGAATGTAAAATGCATGAGGAATACCCAACACGATAATGGTTGGTTGACCACTATCATGTTACCCCGAGGATTACGACAAAGACTTGAGGTCACGAAAACAAGCTTTCGAAGAGTGGTTTCAATTCGATGTAAAAGTGAACAAACATAGGATATTACTGACGGCAATGGATGCAGGCAGTTCTCGAAAACACAATCGTAAAAATTGCAACGAGCATAATGTCAAAATAACTTTGTAACACCCAATTTATTATTTAATGGATCACAAGGTGCGAAACAAAAGTCTCTCTCAGTGTTGTATAGTGCTAGTTTTGGCGGAATTACTACGAACAAGAACAGACAGACAGAAGTGTGAAATTTGTGACGTTCAGTGTAATTCAACTTTTTAAAGTGTGCTCTGAAAGTCTTGCAACCGGAGTGAAGTGAACACCATCAAAATAGGATTTTGATTGATTTCACCACGAGCATGTGTATGTAGTAAGAACCACGAGCGTAGATTAAGTTGCTTCTATTACATGTTATTTTCTTCAAGTACAACTTGAATCTTGACAATCGGCTCACTTCTGCTTGAATGGAAAGTATTCTAAAAAGTAGATGCATTGAAATATTTTATAATGTCTTCCAGATCTCGGATTATTAACTCTTTTTTTTATTATACATATAGATCTTGTACTTTTCTAGAATGTAAAATCATTTACAGTTTTTAATTAAATACTAAAGAATTGTGTGATTTTTGCGATCAAAATGTTTTCAATACTTTTGTTTCTTTAGATGTTAAGATAGAGAATTAATAATTGATATTATAAACGATGTAAGGTAGGGAACGACACGGTCCAGTACCATTTCTGTAACCAGAAATGACTATTTGGAATGTTATGTATATAATAATGATACGGGATAGTCGAACAGGGTAATTTTGGTGTTTGACACAAAAATATTGTATAACTGCGAAGCGATTATGTGAACTTGAAAACCAACCACACTGCATTGTGTGCAATAAGTTAATTTGAAACACGAATAAGATGGGTTCAGTCTGCCAGTTTCTACTTTGAAATAAGTTTTAAGTAACAACAACTTAATCTTTGCATAAGTAGAGAAATATAATATTATGCAGAACAGATTCAATTCAGGCGTGTTGTCTTGCAAAGTTTATATTTTTCGTGTGAATAAATGTGCTAAATGTTTACATAGATACGCCTTTGTTCTTTTGCAGGCCTCAGGAAAATATGATTTTTGAGATTTCCAATAAATACCGTAAGATTGTAATTAAAAAGTAAGTTTAATTATAGTTTTGGTAAGATTTGTTTTGGTTGCAACTGTTTTACAACAATTTCGCAACACTTTTTCTACAATTGGCCAAAAGATCACAATGGCAAGTACCTCTACTTAGGACTTGTTCTAATTGTCTGTACAATTTCCTTACTTTATAAGAGCTGTTGGGCCGCTGTAATCTTTCCTAGTAACGCGCATAGCAAGTAAACCTTCTACATTGAAATCTGAGTAACATTTTATTATTTCCTACATCAATTTTATTATTTCTATACTTACAGAGGAATTGTAAAACACATGTTCTCGCAATGTGCAATAAAACAAATTGATTTAATTTTTATCTTTTCAAAGAAAATAAAATTACGTTATTTTAAGAGTGAAAATGTTTTATTTCCTGAATCAAACCCATAAGAAGTATAACATGGCAACGTATTTGCTAGATCGAGCACGGAGAGCGGTGGTAGCATAGTGGGAAATTCGTTACTTCTTAATTGAGAAGACGGCACTGTGGCGACATGCACCTTGGGCATGACTTTACTTTCTAAGTTGCGTATATTGTGCGGATTTTAACCTGAAGAGAGGTTATGTTGACAAGTATATCTATTTACATACTCTGATAGTCAAGCGGCTCTATTATCTATCTACTATTAGTAGAGAACTGTAAATATACTGACTACTTTCGGGGAATCTAATACAGTGGTCCTGCGCTGGGTTCCAGGCCACTCTGACGTCGAGACTAATGAGTCAGTGGATGAACTGAAAAGGCTGGTGCTAGGAAACCTTTATTGGACACGAACCCTTCATAGGGATAGGATACAGCCTGGCAAAGCTCACTCTGCTAAATGAGAGCACACATCTCTCCCGAGAAGTGTGACTACAGAACAAGGGTCTTGAGCATTCAAAAGCCTTGATATCTACCTACAGTGCCAAACACTAGAGAAGCCCTGTAATCAATAAAGCCATAGCAGGGCATTGTGGATTGAACGAACACATGTCAAATATTGGGCAGAGAGAGAATAGAGAATGTAGATCAGGGTTTCTTAACCTGTGCTCCTTGGACCCCTAAGGGGTAAATGTAATGGTCGCTGGGGGTCCACGGCGAGCCTACCTAACATGATGCATTAAACTATTGATTTATTATTGGTATGCAATGTGTTGTGAATAAATTGGTACTGTGCACGTGTCTTTCCGAAATGGGTCCGTAAGCTTTTTGAAATTTTGGGAGGGGTCTAGCTATGTCCAGAAAAAGGTTAAGAAGCCCTGATGCTGCCACGCAGGTTTATAACACTCCTGTTTATCTACTCACCCATTGCAACCCCCTGATGGGCGTACGAAGTTCCATACTGAGTAGGCACATGCCACAACCAGAGGACATTAAATCTGTCGGAGCTAGGAAAGCCCTTCAGTTCTTCAATGCTGTCGGCCTTGGCTCTGCACTATAATTAGTGGTGATCACAACAGACTAGTCAATGGTCACAGTGATGAGGGGATGCATAGGCCCTGAATGAAGCTACCCTAATACGTACATTTTCGATTCTTTAGTAGCAATATAGCGTAAACGGTTAAGAAAATTCTTGTGATAAAATCTACACAACGAGAAAGGTTCACAAACCTTTAAAAACGTATGTAGTCTCCAACACGTCGTTGCTGGCTCAACGGCTATTAGTATGGCGCACTCTGGCCTAAGCCCTACTGTGCTTAAATGAAACCTGTGCCCTGCAGTGGGACGTATAATGAATAGACATACGTAATATATCTTTGTAGTTTCTGGGATAGACGATGATGATCAAATTGGGATAACAGATGCCACCAAAATCGTACACGTGGAACCCCTGTTTCACGTTCGGATAACGAACAAGTGGGAGTGGGTTCACCAATTACGACTATAAAATAAATGAATCTAAACAGGTGTCTAATATAAAAAGCCCTGGTAGCCTAATGGTTTGCCCTACTGCCTCAAGCAGAAGGTCGTGGGTTCGAATCCCGGTTCGCATCTCTGAGTTTCTCGGAATTTATGTGCGAAATTTAATGTGAAATTTATCGTGAGCTTTTCGGTGAAGGAAAACATCGTGATGAAACCTGCACGTTGAAGAAGGTTCACAACCCTTGGAAAACGTGTGAAGTCCCCAACCCGCATTGGGTCAGTGTGGCGGACTATGGCCTAAACCCTCGTCTGAAAAGAGACTCGTGTCATGATGAGGTCTCTGTTAAGAAAAACTCCTTGAAATTTACCTACAAAAATTTTAGAGCATTAACCAACACAAATATGTAATTGTCTGTGCAAATATTAATACATAGGATGCACTATAAGTTTCCGGAACTGGCCACTTGCATAAACAATATTTAAAAAGTGATTACAACATTTGAAAATGGAACTCTTTGCTTGTAGAATACAGTTTGTTTCGTCTGACTGTCACTTGTTTTCACAGTGTGGCGCCATTTTAGAAATTGGTTGTCTATATCACCATGGATTTAACTCGTGAAAATTTTCGTAGTATAGTTTTCTACGACTTTAAGTGTAATTGAACAGCTCAGCGGGGCTTCGCTTGGCTCCAAACTGCTTTTGGCGATGAAGTACCATGCAAGACGACTATTTATAGCTGGTTTGCAGAATTCAAATGCGGTCGTGTGAATCTCAGTGACGAATTTCGTAATGGTCGCCCGTCCACTGTTGTGAACAACAAAACCATCGATGCTGTGCGCTGTATGATCAAAACAGACAGACATGTGACATACCATGAGATTCGGGCATCTTTAGGCATAGGCATGAGCTAAATACAATCAATACTACACTTAGGGTCGTATTCTAGAACTCTATTCAATGCTCAAGTCAGGATTTGAGTACGACTTAAAGCACTCGAAATCAGTCCCTGCCATTAGGGTAGTATTTCCAGTGCTTGTGTTGCCAGTGCAATCCTGACTTGAGCATTGAGTAGAGTTCTGGAATACGACCCATACATTTGAGTGTGAAAAAGCTGTGCTCTCGGTGGATCCCACACAATATGACTGAGGCTCAAAAAACGGATCGCGTCACTTGGTGCAATGCCATGCTTACGAGATTCAACGAAGGGGCGTCAAATTTGGTGTGGGACATAGTCACAGGTGACGAAGCATGGATCAAGACCAATACGCTCGATTGCTCCTTTTTTTGGGATCGTAAGTATAAAGTTACGATCCTAAAAAAAGCAGCAATCGAGCGTATGGGTCTTTCGAGATGAGCCGAAACCAACCAAAGTGGCGCGCGTGCAAACTGCCTCTAAGCGGATGATTGCTTCTTTTTTTAATAAAACTGGACACGCCTACTGTTGCTTTGAAGAATCGTTGCACGGTGAATAGTGATTGGTAGTACACGACCACGATAATGCCAGTTCTCACACGGCCAGACAGACAAATGAATTTTTGAAGGTGAACAACGTTGACCTTAGGAGCCATCCCGCGTATAGTCCCGACCTGGTACCTTGTGACTTTTATTTATTTCCAAAAATTAAGAACCAGTTACGCGGTCAAATCTTAAGTATATAACTATAATTTTACTGTATCTGATTTTAAAACATAAGTGAGCAGAGCGATGAATGTAGCAACTAAAGTGATCCTAGTAACGTGTCTTTCTTAGCTGTGTTCACATGGTGATGGTGGTAACAAGTGACGTCATCACAGGAAACCAAGCAGGAGACCACGTTTCGATGAAGCCGAAATAAAAACTGCAATAATTTAGCTATTTCTTAATGGATTTAAAAAGCAAAATACTCTTAAATGTTTAAATATTAATTATATTTTAATGTGGTTGATTCTCATTGAGTGTTGTTCAGTTCGTTTAGCGATAAACATGTCTCGTAAATTATTCTTATTATTAAATATGTTAACAGAACAAGAATCAGATAAGTCAATGGATGAAGCCATCTTTTTTAATCTCAAATCGTACGTACCCTACAATCTCGCGATTGATATTATTAGCATCGCTCGCGCGAGATCGTGCGGGCACGGGAAATGGTGTTTCCGTTGCAGAGTATAATGATCTATGTAGGCAGCAACACGGTTCAATATTAAATCAAAAAATACCTATTTCAATTCTCGCCTCGTCCATCCTCGTCAATCCCGACCATTTCCTCCGCAGATGCGGCAGGAGAGAATTGAAATTTTTGTAATACTTTAAATCCTCGTCTCGCCTTGCTGGTGGAAAAGCACCTTTATTAATGTTATGTCAAATCAAACAAATGTGTCGCTATGACAACCACCACCAGTGTTGCCAACTTAGCGACATTGTCGCTAGATTAAGCGACATTTTGACAACAAAAGTGATATTTTGTTTCTATTCAGCGACAAGAAAAAAAATAAAAGAAAAGAAAAAAAAAGACATAAAATAGATTTTAACTTCATATTCCATAAGGAAGTAACGCGTTTCAACTTGTATTTTTATATAAATATTCACTAAAACCGAAAATTAACCTACTACTAAAACTAGCCTACTTGATTTGATTTTTGCCTCTCTTGTGACAGTTTGTTTCATATGAAACTATCATTCTATGCGTTATTATTCTAAGGCTTACGCTTAAAATGAAACGCTTGCTTATGCGCTTATTTTAAAAAGCATACTTTTTAAGTGCTTTTCGTTTAAACGCCCACCTCTACTTCTGTCTAGCGACATTTGCTATACTAAATCTATGTTTGCTTTCGTCTAGTTGGCAACACTGACCACCACATTCAATATAGGTTTGTCTTGTAATTTGTTATAAACAAACAAACAAACAATAGTAAATAGAATAGTTTTGTTACAAAAATAACTAAAAACAGTTAATTTGTGATAAAATCATGAACGAACCATTTAGTTCTAATATCCCTGAGCCAAGAAAAGTCGGTGTTTGGGCGGAGGGAACTCATATTGAGGCAAAGTAAGACGAATTTAAATATTTCTTTTTGAAGAGTGCTTGCTGAATGATTTTTAAATTTTAATTAAATTTAATAATAAGTACATGTAAGCTAATCTAACCTAATTGCAGAGAGTTCATAATACCGAAGAAATCACCAGAATCGAGTGACGATATACCGACGATACCTGACCTCGATGACTTGCAAGATATACTTGAGAAGGAAATAGCGGTACCACCTTTGTAAGTATTTATTACAAAGTGACAATAATTTATTCTCTTAAATCAAGTTTTACCAATAGTTCTCTTATTTACTATAGATAGTAGGAATGGATGCCACTGACCATTGTTGTAGTGTTCACTGTGACTGCTGATGAGGTAAATTCATTCACATAAATTCTTGGACTTGGAGCCATAGCCATTAATCAGTATTAAGTAGGTACGTAAGGACATTTGGATGGCCTTATCATGGCAATACCGGCTGGTGGTTAGTTGTGCCTATTTTGCATAAGATAGGTTTAAATTTAATTTGTTACCAATGTCCTACTGACACAAGTACTGTAAGGATTTTGGAAAGAGTTAAGAAATAAATAAATTTCATAAATTATGTATGAAAACAGCATGTGTTATGATACACTTTGTGCCTTTACTGTTGTGTATATGGATGCTACAATAGGGATCAAAACCATTAGGGAAACTGTCTGTAATGATTGTATGTTAATATGTGATGGTTTAATTGCATTGTTTTGAATTCCAGATCAAGTAGAAAAGATACAGAAACAGCAAGTGCTCTAGCAGAAGTGGGAGGAGGCATAAGTGGGTCGGTGGAAGGAATTGATGCAGTGTTAGAAAGGCTGTTGACATATATTCCTCGAGTTGAGTCTGAAGATGCAGACATAGTGTGGACTGTGGACTCGTTACTCACGCAACTGGTTGATGAAGCTCAGGAATATGAACCTTAAGTTACTGAAATGACTAGTTTGATAGGTAAAAGAAACCTAATCTCTAGTGGTGGAAAACTCTGAAAACTTCACATACAGTTTGTGAGACTAATATATTCATGTTTTTGTTTATTTTCTGTGTTGATCTCAATAATTTCACGACTTTGTTATATCTGCTTACTGATTAGTAAATGCACATCAATGTTTTAAGTTAAGAGATAAAAAAATAATATCTTTATTCTTAGAAATTTAAATTAATTGTTTAAAATATATGAGATATAAGTAAAACTTAACCAGATGAGTCCTTATTTTTTATTTTGTAATTTTTTCACATTGGGTATGTTATTCAATTAATACATTTCTAATTAATAATCATTATTCTGTCCAAATTAAGTAAAACAATGTAAAATAAAAAATAGGATAGGGAATGTTGTATCTTACACTAGCTTTTAATCATTAAATAAGTTAACTAAATTATTATGTGTTCTTATTGTATCCTTGTAATATTTTTTGTAAATCATTTGCAATTTTTCAAAAGTATCAACAATAAATAACGATTTCATTATGTCTTACTTTACAACTGAATTTATTATTATTTTAATGCTAATCAATCAAAGCTTTGTTAAACAAATACAGGCAAATTGAGCTATCACAATAGAAATGTTATGATTTAAAATTAATGCAAAGTTTAATTAATCTCCATCTCATTCTGTCCTGAAAAGCTTTGCATAAAACTTTTACTCGTACCTCCTGCGCATCTAAATGCTATAACAGCTGTGATAATTAAAATAATATAAGATGGTAGAATTGTAGCTGCATATAACTCATTACGGTTGAGAAAACTTAAACCAGAAACAAAGAAATGTGATGCAACTACCCAAACAATCTTTAAATGGTTCTTTTCATCGAGGCCGTTAAAGAATATGACACTCCAGAAGGTATTAAGGAGGATCATGCATAATGTCATTGCAGCACTTGTAACAAAAAAGTATTCATTGCCCTTGGTGAGTCCTAGTGTGCCCGGTCCAATCTGGAAATTCAAAATAAATCAATGGGTTTGACAAATAAACACATTTGGTGCACTCTTTACATATTTTTTATCTTCATCATTAACCTATTTTCCTGCAGGCTAGCACCCAATTATAGCCTTGTAAACCCTTAGGCAAATATTGTAATTACTGTTACAAAATAAAATTAAAAGATATAGTACAGTAGACTCACAAATACATGGGATAAGTATAGTACTGGGTGTCTCACGGCAGAGTTAGGATTTTGAAATGAAATAAAAGTCAATTTGCATATTATTGTGAAAAGATTTTTATTGAAAACTATTGAACTATAATGCGCATTTTATTTTTTAAAGATGACATCTTCCAAATGTCTTCCATTTCGTAGCACGCACTCACGGAATCGATTCATCGCATTTTGCATAACGCGCCTAAGCATAGCCGGCTCGATGTCGCGTATTTCTTGTTGGATATTTTGTTTTAGCTCAGCGATATTCCTCGGAGTATTGACGTAAACTTTACTCTTAAGGTACCCCCATAGGAAAAGTCCATGGGGGTCAAATCTGGTGATCGCGGAGGCCACGCAATATCACCAAAGCGGGATATCAATTTTTGAGGAAACAATTCACGAAGTTGGTCCATAGTGGCTCTTGCAGTGTGGCAAGTGGCTCCATCCTGCTGAAACCACGTTCTTGAGCTGTAGGCTGGATGCTCTCGAAGTTGGGGTATAAAATAATTGGATATCATTTGCCGATAAGCCTCACCAGAAACAGTTATCGCAGCACCTGTCGCATTTTCAAAAAAATACGGCCCGATTATTCCATTGACCGAAAGAGCACACCACACTGTCACTTTTGGGCTATGCAGCGGTCTTTGATGTTTTTGTCTGGGATTGACTTGTGACCAAAAGCGACAATTTTGTTTGTTAACATATCCATTCAAATGGAAATGTGCTTCATCACTCCAAAACACAGTATTCAAAGTGCGAAATCTCTCAATGATTGTCTGGCAAAAACTTTTACGTAAATTGTAGTCATTTTCATTTATTTCCTGCACTATCTGTATTTTATAGGGATGGAATTTCAAATCACGTTTTAAAATCCGCTCTACGGTTGATTTGGTGACGTTTAAAGCCGCCGCTCTTTTGCGTATTGACAAGCGTGGATTACGTCGAACGCTAGCTGCAACTTCGTTTATTGTTTCTTCCGTTCTTGAAGTTCTGCTTGGGCCCGGACGCGGTTGATTTATAGCGGAACCGGTAGCTCGAAACTTGATAACCCATTTACGAATCAAATTTTCGCTTGGTCCATCGCGTAAACGTCTAATATTGTAGTGAGAACAAAACTGTCTTCGAGCCACGACGTACGATTCTCCACCTTTCAAAAACGCTTCGATAGCGAACGCGCGGTGCTCACCCGACCACTGCGACATCGTGACTAACAAATCCGCACGAATGACGAAGCTACTGCGTTCCTCCCCCCGCGCTTACTTGCAACGGTTTTTAAAATATTCAAATTTAAAATCCTAACTCTGCCGTGAGACACCCTGTATAACAAAAAGATATTCTTAAATAGTTACAATTCATAGTTTCATTGTGGTGTATGAATAATTATCAAAGAAAACTCACAGAATCCGCTAACACATTGACTAGAGCAAAAGCTCCACTCATGGCTCCAAATCCAAGGCCACTCACATAACCCATCTCCAGCTTATTGGTACCAATGTTCTGGTTTTCAGAGAACTCTCTTAGTCCTGTTTCAGTCTTACGGAGCAGGACGTACATACCGTATCGGAATAACTCCTGAAAAAGTGATGACAACATCATACCATTCCAATATGAAAATTAAGGAGCATAGTGATCATATACGATAATAAAAGCAGTTTTGTAACACGCTCCTACATTTCAAGGTATACGTACCTGGAAAATTATAGCAAACACCATTCCAAACGCCAAATATGTACGTAAAGGCGTTACGGCAAACCACACTAAAGATGAAAGTAAAAATGATAACAGCCAACCAAATGCCGCAGCTATCATGATGATGATGCGGATAGGGTCGTTGGCCACAGTTAGCGCGAACATTACCAGCGGAGGACCGAAAGCCAAGAGTGAACAACTAAAAAATTCTGCGAGAGTCATCTTACTTTTTCCCTACTTCTAATATGTACACAAAATCTAACCTACGCTGTCAATAAGTCGCTGCAACGCAGCAGAATGTTTGTAGTTACTAAATAAACCTAAGTTGACACATTTATGTTGAAAAATTTGATTAAATTGAAATAAAAGAAAATGAATCACGTATCGAAAACCGTAGTGACAATTTTTATTTTGACATTATTTTTTTTTACGCTGCCATTTTCATTGCGTTTACTTATCTATTTTAAAGACGAAACGCAGTTAAATTTGACGTTGCGTTTTGTTAACATATTTACAATGTGACTTGAGACGAGTGAACTTAACCTATTTCTATAAATAAATTCGAATATTCTTTTTTGTTCCAGTAGAATTTTGGAAATCATAGCATTACGGCCTATACATGCCACCGAAAGCATCTAAGAAGACATTGTGGGTGGAATGCGAACGGTGCGGGTGCACTGTAACCTCTAACGATAAGAATATTCATGTCGAGTTGAATTGCGGGAAAGATCAAGTGAAGTGCCCTTACGTAGAGGATGGCAAGTTGTTCTCTTGGTTGGAGAGAGCTGGAATCCCTCCTGAAGGCGCTCCTAGAGATGCAGTGCTTGTACATCCATCTGCTGGGACGTTGATAGGAGCAGTGATCGGCGGACCCTTGGAGTTGAACAGAGAGGGAGCCCCGACTTTGGTGCGGCGCATGTGGCCATCCAAAGCGTCGGCACCGGCTGCTGTTATATTACCAGCTGCAGGTGGTTTTTTTATTACAAATTCTATTATTAAGAAAATTATTATTTGAAACATAATTCAGTTACTAATATATAAAATATATTTGTAGGAAAAAACACTAGTTAGCTGCTTATATTTTACCTAGTGCTGCCCTCTAATGGGCGTAAGAAGTTCTGTACTGGGTAGGCACTGGCCACACCCAGAGAACATAAAAACTGTCAGAGTCAGGAAAGTCCATCAGCTCCTTAATGCTGTTGGTCTTGGCTCTGAACTGTAATTAGTGGTGATCACAATAGATTTAATGGTTGCAGTGATGAGGGGCCTCATAGGCCCTAAATGAAGCCACACTATAGTCATCACCAAATAAGAGGTCAAATTTGACACTTGTTACCGTGACGCGAATAGGGACGTGGACTAATCATATCGGTAATCACATTATACAATTTTCACAAGAAATCGATTCAAAATTTGAAGAGTTTGTGATTATTTAGATTATTTTTCGGTTCATGTTGATTAGGGTGCCTAAAAGGCCAAATCGTGAATTCAGTTAAAACCAATTCATTTACAGAATTCCTTGCAATTCCTCTTAATTTCGTAAAATTGTCCCACATTCTGATGAATTGTATCCAATTCTTTTAATTTTGATTCATAAATGGTTTATTACGAGAATTTAGTGTAAATAAGTGTGTTCATCAATAAAACAACTACATAAGTCAATATTTTTTCTAAGAAATCTAAGTGACTCGGTGAAATTTGGCGATTAATTGCTTACAACACTATTATTTAAGAAAAAATAGCTTGAGGACGTAACTGTTTTCAGGATGTTTCGGAGTTACTCAAAATTGCGTTTTATTTTGGAATTTGTGCCAAAACAGTACTTCAAATATGTTTTGTCATATTATGGTTCAATAAAATTTATGTATTTTTTTAAAACTCAATTATGCTAAATTAATAATTTTTGTTGATTGCTTTCAAAGTTACATACTATCGCCTTCTTTAGCTGTCAAATTTGGCCTCTTATTTGGTGATGACTATAATAATAATATCTGCTTATATTTTAGTTTAGGCTAATTGAACTAAAAAAATTTGCAGATTTAGCGGGACATTGGAGTAGTGATCACAAGAAGATATCAGTCGCAGTGTTACAAGGAGAGGTGTCAACAGCTTCACACATCACAGTCAAAGTGAAGAGTCATAAAATTGAAGCAGATATTTGTGACATTTTAAAGAACCACTTTTACAAGTACTTTGTCTCTGTAGGCACAACACTGGTTTACTATTACTTTGGCAAGAAATTGGAAATTGAAGTTATGAGTGTAAAAGGTGACAAATCCGATGTGAATACCAGCTGGTGTATTTTATGTGAAAAGACTTGTTGGAGTATGGAGAAGGACAGTGTTCAAAAGGTTAAGAAGAAACCCATAACTTTAGGAGGTGTTGATGACATTTTAGAAGAAATCAAAACATTCATAAAAATATCCTTCAAAACGAATGGTTTAACAGCCAATTTTCAGCCAACTAGAGGTTTGCTACTTCATGGCCATTCTGGAATAGGCAAAACTGCAATTTGTAAATATTTGATAGACAATCTAAATTGTTTTCATATTGAAATTAATGGTCCGGCCATTTTTAGCAAATATTTTGGTGAAACTGAGTCTACTATGAAAAGTTTATTCTTTAAAGCTGTTGAAAATGAACCAAGCATTATTCTAGTCGATGAACTTGAGACAATATGTCCAAGGCGGTCTTCAGGGAGTACTGAACAAGAAAGGAGAGTCACTTCTGCATTTGTTTCTCTACTGGACAATTTACACGAAGAGAATAGTAGGGTTTTCATACTTGCGACAACTAGGAAGCCGGATACAATTGATCCAATGTTAAGGAGATTTGGAAGACTAGATAAGGAGATAGAAGTCCCAGTACCAGACAGAATAAGGAGAAAAGAAATTTTGTACAGCCTATTAAGTAATTTGCCTAATAAAGTATCTTCTCAAGAATTGGATTCAATAGCAGATTTAGCTCACGGTTATGTTGCTGCAGATTTAGTTAATTTATGCACTCAGGCTTCAATGAAATGTATAAAACAATCTAGTGATGTCATTGAAAAGGATCATCTGGTTTCTGCGTTAACTATAGTTAGGCCAAGTGCAATGAGAGAATTGCTTATTGAAGTACCAAATGTGCGATGGACTGATGTTGGTGGGCAAGATAATTTGAAACTTAAGTTGCGGCAAGCTGTCGAATGGCCATTGAAGCATGCAGAAAGCTTCAAACGACTAGGAGCTAAACCTCCTGGTGGAGTTCTCATGTATGGACCACCAGGCTGCTCCAAGACTTTGATAGCAAAAGCTTTGGCTACTGAAAGTGGACTTAATTTCTTAGCAATCAAAGGCCCAGAGTTGTTCTCTAAGTGGGTTGGTGAGTCTGAAAAAGCAGTTAGAGATTTATTTACTAAAGCGCGACAAGTAGCTCCTTCTATAATTTTTTTTGACGAAATGGATGCGATTGGAGGCGAAAGAGGTGCTGGGGAGGGTGGTGTACATGAAAGGGTGCTAGCACAACTTCTGACAGAATTAGATGGAGTTGTGCCTCTAAAATCTGTCACCATTGTGGCAGCTACTAACAGGCCTGATAGAATGGACAGGGCGTTACTGCGTCCAGGAAGACTCGACAGGTTGATCTACGTGCCATTACCCGATTTTGAGACAAGACTTCAAGTGTTGGAATTGAAGCTTAGTAAAATGACAGTAAGTGATGATGTTAACCCTCACAGCCTTGCCACAAGGACAGATGGTTTCTCAGGGGCCGAAATCGAGGCTCTCTGCCAGGAGGCAGCTCTTAGGGCGTTGGAGAGAGATCTTGAATGTCCAGAAATTACTATGGAACATTTTGAGTTTGTGCTCAAAGATTTCAAGCCACGGACACCTGCACATTTGTTGAAAATTTATGAACAGTTTGCTCTAGGTCAGAAATCAGGCTAGCAATTTGTTATATCAAAATGTTTCTATACGAAATCATTTGTTTATTTGAAATTTATATTATAGGTATTTTATATGTTGGAATGAAAATCTTAATCCTATTTATTTATTTAATATGTATGAAACCTTAGCACTACCACATGTATAAATTAATCATAAATAAATCTAAGTAACCCTTATTCAATCACATACATTTCTCAAATCAAATATTTTTTTAAATAATTATACAAATACTACGACAATAGACACAGAATAATTGCTGTATATACAATTATAGTATTTCAGTAGCAAAATTGTCATGAGCACGAAGGGCATGTACAAAATGGCTACCAAAATAAAATTCACAACTAACTATAAATTGCTTTGGTCTTCAATTAAATATTGAATGAATCCGTTTATCACTTTTTGAATAGTTTTGCTAAAGGCCTACATTTAGGTTATTGCTTAATACAAAAGGGATTACAACATTCCTAAATTTGGATTACTCCACAGTAAAGGGCGGCAGAGTCATATTTTACGAGATTGCTAACTTGAGTGCACAAATGTGTGAACGCTTTCAACCAATCATCGCCTTCATATGTCCCGAGGGGAGGAGGAAACGAAAACTATTGACCAATCACGGGCGTTCACGTCTGGCACGTTCACGTTTCAAATATTGTGGTTACTTTAGTAGTAAAAGTAAAGAGAATCAAAAGTAGAGGTCATTTCCTGCTCCCTCATAAAACAGTCGATGGCTTAAATCACGCTAAACATAAATGCAGACGTCATTTTACGCTAATTTGAGACCTTCACAATGGGTTTACATAAACACCATTACTCATATAACTACATAGTTTCATAGTCCTATTCAATTATGTAGTAAAAACATACATTTCCTGTCCAATACTGTGTTAGTAGTTGGTCAGTCTTGTGTGATAATTTCCCCTTTCGTTAGAGGAGATCCGTGCCTTTATTTATATACTTTGATGATTATGATTAAAAAATTTCGATAATTTGCTGTATATAATTCTGCACTTACAAACTCCGTGGAAATATTTATGTTCGAGATATTCTCAACAGTCGGTTCCAAATATAAGGTCACAAAACTCGCAGAACGTGAGTTGGTTGTATATTTAGGACTGACTGCTAGTTAGTGCCACCTTACACGCGCAGTATTTCCGTATGACGGTTATAGCAGATAGCGATCCAATCAGGTTGTGTTGCCCCCCACTGAATCTGATTGACCTCTCCCTCGGCGGCCGTATAGGCCAAGATGGGGTCCTCGATGGCGCGCGGCATCTGCTGGATGTCCCAAATTAAGGCCTGGTGGTCGTCACCCGCCGTGCAAATGTGGCATGAGCTGAAACAAGATTAAAAGTTAAACAGTTTACATTATATTCTGCTGTGTGAACAGCAGTGAAGGGAAACATTTGAATAATATCATAGTACCTGTGTGGTGCCCAAGCGATTCCGTTGACACAGGCGCGGTGATTGTTGAGACGTGCCACCGGCGTGCACGGTACCCTCACGTCCAGGATGATCACCTCACAGGCGTCCATGGCGATGGTGGCCAGGTAGTTGGGGTCTTGTTTGTTCCATGCTAAGCGAAGCAGCGGCGTGTGCGCAGGGTCCTGCAGTCACATTCACTTTCAAGCTTATCAATTCTAGGTAATAATTGGATTCATTGGCTAAAGCTACTATTTTAATACTTGAAAACGAGCAAAAATCTCTAGGGATTGCTCTTTTCAAATACACTTAAATGCTATGGAATACACTTTGAATCATATTTGTGTGGAATCTAGTCGCATGTCATCTTTCCATACATCTTTATGTAATATGTAGCCTTCAATTTTGTAATAATAATATGACTTTCAATTAAAATACTTTTAATGTAAGTTTTAAACTAAGGAAATGACAACCTTAATATATCCAGAATCTTATTGTAAAAACGTATACAGTTCCCTACAAAACAGTTGTTTGCCTTAGTTAAATTACATTGTCGTACCATGAATTTGGACTTCTTTTTTCTTCTTTGGAATTCTGGTAAGGTTAATATTATGGATATCTTCTTTCTTAATGAAATTATGTATATTTTTACGGGCATACAAAATATTTGAGTAAATGTACTGTCAAAAGATGCCACAGTCATGTTACCAGTCTCTTTAAATTTTTTTCTGACAGAAGCCAGAGAACCTAAACAGTACACAGAATGAATAGCTCATTTTCTTAAATACAAACATGGTTTGTATATCTGCCACACACGTCCATCCATCATCCCACGTGAGAATCACGTAGGAAAGCTTAGTGCCAAGATGTTTATTCTCAGTGATTGGTTATGAATCATCAGACCTATAATAATAATAACGCACACACTCAACAAAGCCCCGCACTAGGGAAACCCTGTATCGCGGGTGCCATGGCACACACACACACACATAGACAACCACAAATTACACCCAAACTCACGAGAGAAATAAACATAGGCCATACAAATATTTCTCCCGGCCCGGGAATCGAACTTGGGACCTCTGCGTGGCAGTCCGGCATGGTAATTGTTCGGCCACGGAAGCAGTTAAGCATATATATACTATAAAGTTAAGCAGGCTGCTGGCTAATGGTCTTTAGGTACCTCGTAGATGATGGTGGAGTGCTCAAGGTGCCGCAGGTCGAACATTCGCACGGAGCCGTCCGCGCCCACCGAGGCGAACATGTCGCGGCCACCGCCTGCGCGGCTGAACGCGATGTCGTACACCTCCTGCGAACGTGGGACCGGCCAACACTTAGAGCTATACGCCAAAAATTGGAGTATGTTCGCTTCATTCTCTCCGAAGCATCTATATGCAAAGCTTCAATTAATTGGCGTAAAAAGTCCAAGTAGGGTTGGATGAACCGACGTGGCGAGTTACTGCAATAAAGTCTTACCTTATCATGAGCAATAAGCTGCGTCTTGACGTGTCCAGAAACCTCATTAACTCGTCCCAGCACCTGTCCAGTCTCCAGCCCCCAAATGGTGCATGTAGTGTCGATACTGCTTGTGCCAATCAGGTTGGGGTCCACCTCGTTCCAGTCAAATGATGTCAATGGGGCACAGAAGTCCGAGTTCTTGTTGTTGTTAAGGACACATTCAAAAAGGGTGTACGGTTCACCGGCGTGCCAAATCCGAAGGTAGTCACCTGGTTAAAACAATATTGTAAGGGCATGTGCAAGTGACATAAAGATTTAATATATAATCAGGCTTTAATAAACAGACAAAACACATGTTCAATTAATACAGTCAGCTTGGAGAAATTTGTTTAAAATTAGTCTTGATTATTTCTAGGTGCTGCCCCCAAAGTTAGTGTCTCATACATTTGTGTTGTCTAGTTTTAAACTATATAAGCCGTCTTAGCTGCTTCTAGCAGTACACAAATAAAAAAGTAATCCACCCAATGGCAAATAATTGTAATTCCTCTTTTTTTTAGCCCACTGAGAAACACTACAACACTACAGACTTGTCAGTATTGTCTTACCACTTGTAGCTAATAGATCAGGATACACCCCCTTGCTATCTGGGATCCACATGATCTTGGTGGTGGGGTAAGGATGATCAAAGGTGCTTTTGGCACTGAACTCACTCGTCTCCTCGTCTAGGGAGATTATTTGCACCTGAAAGTTGTTTAACCTTTTAATTTTATCCAGTTTATCCATTAACCTTAGGTAGACATACATACTACATTTTTGCTAAAAGAAGAGGATGTTTTTTACTAAAAAGCACAGGATTAGGCAATGCGTTATCGCCTTAGAGTGGAAACCTCACACACACATTTTTTTTACTAACTTTTGTTGAAGGGAAATTCATAAACCTCTTGCTTAAAATATTAATATTACAATAATATAGCATGTGAAACAGGTATAATTAACTAGAGGTTAATATGAGCAAGTTTTTACCTTATTATTATACTCCTCAACAAAGCTTCCCAAGGCAAGTCTGAACCTCTTGTCTGGTCTGACAGACCAGTTCATTGAATACAGCGGCCATGGGGCTTGGTATCTACATTAACAGAGTGTAACACAAAAAAACAAATTGAATTATTCATTCAGTGTCTTAGGTACACTTACTAGGAAATTCAAAATATCTTTATTCTCTCATCACTTTGAAATTGTTAAATTGATTACACATGACTACTTTTTAATCGCAGATGACCCTGAGGAGAAAGAACAAATAAATCTAGAGGCTGCTCTTTGTAAATATAGCCATTTGTTCATATTGATAATTATGTTTATATTAATATATCATAGACAGAAATAGATAAAGATGGACTTGACGTCTGTTGCGTGTGCTGGAAAAATTGAGCGAAGTAGTCGCCAATTGGTACCCACGTGATGGGAAACTTAGTAGAGGGAGCTTGATAGAGCGCACTGGAAAAATCTGGAGTAGGTCTATGCCAAGAGGCACATGGAGTTAAGAAGAGATATAATGTAAAAATTTTAAATGTAATATAAAATTGTAATGTAAAAAGTATTTGTAACTCAGATTAAAAGGTTTAATAAATAAAAGATGGAAGCAGCCTGGAAGCGTGAAGTTCACTTTCATGGATAGTTTTCCTCTTTTTTACTCTATATAATGGTCTTAAGTGTCATAAATAGCAACAGGAATTTTTACCTTTACCTTAGAGACTCGAATAGTCTTGGTATTGTAAAGTTTGCAGGTTGTAGTGTGTGTGGGGAAATATAGCCACACCCCCAATCCTAAAGTATATTTGGTAAAAAATAGTCAGCATTTCAGTAGTAGTTGCATATTATTAACACTGTACTTCGTTTGAAATCAACTTTTGAAATGTTGAAAGAGGTAATGAGACTGAGGGTCGTATTCTAGAACTCTACTCAATGCTCAAGTCAGGATTGCACTGGCAACACAAGCACTGGAAATACGACCCGGGACTTGAGTATGATTTCGAGTGCTTTAAGCCATACTCAAATCCTGACTTGAGCATCGAGTACAGTTCTAGAATACGACCCTGAGAGAGAGACCCACACACTGGGTATCTGATGACTATAGATAGCATTGTGATTTACTGCAATTAACTATTACTAAGTTAATTATTTGAGGGTCATAGTTCATACACAATATTACTCTTTGCAATCGATCGCATCCTTCAAGTCTTGCTACTGCATCTGCCTATTTAGCGTACAAAATTAGGTCATATGAAACAGGTTAGGTGATTTCTGAACTTAATAAAGCTTTTAAAGAAGATCTTACTTGTATATTTCCTTGCGTTTTGTGCTAGAGCTTGTCGTGCTTGAGCTGCTATGTGGCATCGACATTTTCTTCAATAAATTGCGACCTACGAAGGTACAATTGTAAAATGAGTTGACAAAAATATCACACTAAATTTAGTATCTTGAATGGAGGTAATAGGCGTGTGTTGCGTTGTTTTGTGTATTTAGATGTTAATGCAAAGAAATTAAAAGTTTCGCAGTTTTTGTTTAAATAATCCACGCAATCAAACTTGAAAACTTACCTTTGATTATCCACAAAAGCGAAGTAAAAACGAGCTTCTACGCACAGGTTCTATGTCATTAGTAAAGTTGATAATACTTATATCGCAACTTAAAGAAACATATCAGTGTTTTTGTCGAAATTATACGTGAAAACCACTGATTAAGAAGACGATACGTGAAAATAAACAAGCATTTTTCGCTAACTTGACATTTATTGTTGAATGACATTTCTTTTTTTTTTAAATTTATTGCTAGCCATGGAAACAAAGTCCTTTAGCCGTAAACATAAAAATAATTATCAAGGAAAATTATGCTTATTATCTAATTATAAGTAATAACATTAAATTTTTTCTATAGTGCTAAGAGTGTTGAATGACATTTGTGACGATGTTGCCATACCTTCACAATAATAGTTTACTAGAGTCTGCTGTTAGGTTGAGTGTTAGCTACAAGGTGTTCTGTGAATTAGTGCGTTTTTTGGCTAGTTTCTTTATTTCATAACCCCTGTTGACTTATTTTATGTGTCTATTTTAGTAGTAAAAACTTTATAACTTTGTTGTAAATGTCTGATCCTCCCGATCCGGGGGGAGGCGATGCTGAGCCACGTGCTCAGTCATCTCCTCGCCTGTTTTCGCAATCTCAGTCTGAGGTAATGGAAGTAGATAAGATCATCCAAAGTAGGAAACGAGCCCCCACTGACGTGGAATCATCTCAACCTCCCAAAAAAACTAATACCTCACAGTCTGTTCCGTCCACCCAAATTAACATTCACCAACCCAAAATTCTTAAACAACAAAAACAAATACATGGCACAAGATGTCGCCCCATTCATTGTTCATGTGAACAAAACAGTATCGGATCCCTCTTCCGGCACCGCATTACGCCCCATTAAATTTGGCAATTTTTTGTTTAGGAACAATGTTAAAAATATTGTCAGAGATGGTATCAAACGCGTTGGCAGAAATAGAATATCTCTTGAATTCAAAACTTTCAGTGATGCTAATGCTTTCCTTGATCACCCAACTCTTTCTCCAGCCAAATATGAAGCGATTATCCCAAGTTACAGCATAATTAGAATGGGTATTGTCCGACAAGTTCCAGTTGAATGGACACTGGAGGAATTAGTTGAAGCAGTGGAAGTTCCAACTGGTTATGGTGCTATTGTTAAGGCACGAAGACTTAATAGGAAAACCCATGACAGTAATGGGTCACCTGTATGGGTTTCCACCCAAACAGTGGTACTAACCTTCTCAGGTCAAAAACTTCCCTCCCACGTGTACTGTTTTTTCACCTCTCTCCCAGTGGAAACATATGTCCTTCCCACAATTCAGTGCAATAAGTGCTGCCAGTTTGGACACATCCAAACTCAAGGCAGATCGGAGGCTCGCTGCTTTATTTGTGCACAAACTCAGGAAGGCCTACATTGCACCAAGGAAGCACCAACCTATTTACACTGCTCTGGACGTCATAAAGCCACTGATCCCTCTTGCCCTGAGCAATCAAGGCAAAAACAAATAAAACTGGTCATGTCCCAAGAAAATACCTCTTACTCTGAAGCATATGCCATGAAGCATATGATTCACCCAGAAGATCTTTTGCTGGTACAGCGAGGCTTGATTTAAATGAATATCAACCTACACCCACCGCTCAGTATACTTCTTCCTCCCATCCCTCTCCCCAACTCAGATCTCCTCAACACACTTCCTACCGCAAAACAGTAGCTATTCCCAGGCACCAATCCCTCCCAGCTTCTAGTCCAGGGTATAATCAACAAGTTCATAGAGACATAGTTATGTCTCCTAATTCTCAACTAGGAAATGGATGTGCACTCCCAAATAACTTCTCAATGCCTAACGATAATTTAATTTCTCTTCTCCTCTCGACCATCATTAATCTCTTAGGGCGTTTTAGTGACGTCCCCCTACCGAACAACCTCAAAGATCAACTGTCTCAGCTCATACACCTCATCTGCTCCAATGGCTCCCATTCTTCAGTGGAACTGTCGCAGCAGCAGGAATAAAGAAAACGAAATTCAATTTTTACTTAATAAAGACTCTCCTGACGTTTTCGCAGTCCAGGAGATGCGACGTAAACCAGGAGATCGAGTACGGTTTCCAGGTTTTTCGTGTCTCCGCGATGACAGGACAGACGGGCAAAGAGACTTCGCACTTCTAGTGTCAAGAGCCGTAACCTTTTCGCAGATTTCCGTTCCCCCTCATAGCGAACACATTAATGCAGTTGCTGCTAAATTGCTAAAGATAACGTTTCTGTCGGTTTACATTCCTCACCCTAACCTGACATGCCTTGCAAAGTTTTCGGATATTGTCGCTTCCCTTAGTCCCCCGCTTACAATATTAGGGGATTTTAATATACACCACGCTTCCTGGGGCTCATATTACAATGACCATTTATCCTCTGCCTTCCTGGATATCTGCGACAACCATGACCTCTGCCTCCTCAACGACGGCTCCCCGACGCGTAGAGTCTATCCGCCCCAAAATATTAGAAGTGCCGTGGATCTCTCTCTGTGCTCCCCCTCACTGTCTTCCAAATTCATCTGGACAATCCTGCCGGTTACTCACGGCATGACCATTTTCCAATTGTTATTCTAGCTCCGGAGCACAGGGCGGACCGTTCGAATACCCAGAATATTCCTCATCCTAAACTAAAATTTAACCTGTCAAAGGCCGACTGGTCAAAATATAAATGTGTTTTAGACCAGGAAACTCAACACCTACCTGTGGCTGATCTTGATCTTGATTTTAGAAATTGTCTACTGTCATCAGCAGATAAATGTCTTCCCACCAAAAATGTATTCAAGGGTAACTCCCCATCTCCACCTTGGCGGGATTCGGAATGCACTGAAGTCTGCAAGGATAGGAAAACAGCAGAATGTGCATACGCACTAACAATGACTGAATCCCTTTTTATAAAATACCGTGCGGTTGCAGCAAAAGCTGTAAGAGTACTGAGTGAAAAAAAAGAGTTGGGTGGCGTAGATTTTGTGAAACTCTCTCTCCAAGGTCTCATTCTTCCTTGGTTTGGAGGAATGTCAGGAGATTTAGGGGCTCCATATCCTGTTCCGGTAATGTCTCTACTAATGACACGTCAGAGTGGCTTGAACAATTTCAAAACAAACGGGCTCTTCTCTCAGTCCCCACGGAAGACGAGGTAACTCTGTCCACGTCCCCTACTCTATCTCCAACCTCAGTTTTTGACTCCCCATTCTCTCGGGAGGAACTCTCTTCAGTGTTAAACGGTCTCAAGGATTCTGCCCCTGGAATTGATGGTATACCATACTCTTTTATCGTTAACAGCAGTGATTCAATCAAAGACTTATTCCTTAATATTCTTAATAACATCTTTCTGACGGGAGTTCCTCCGGATGAATGGAAAGTCCAAATCATTATACCCATATTAAAACCAGGTAAACTTAGTAATGACCCTAATGGATATAGATCCATTGCTCTTTCCTGCACGTTAGCCAAAGTTTTAGAACATCTCATTAAAAATCGCCTTGAGTGGATAGTTGAAAGTCGGGGCTTACTCGCTAAAAGTCAATATGGTTTCCGGAAGGCATGAGCACCATTATCCAAGCTATCCGCTTCAGTATTTTTCTGACAGACATTTGGATTGGCTTGTCTAAACGAGAACATGTAGTTGGAGTTTTTTTGGATGTGTCATCAGCGTATGACAATGTATTGCCTCCAGTATTCAGGCAAAAGATGCTCAATCTGAGTATACCTGTGAAGCTTATCAATATAATTTTTAATCTCCTCTCTGCCCGTTCAATTCAAGTCAGTGTTAACTACTCCCTTTTACCACCAAGAACTATCTGGAGAGGCCTTCCACAGGGATCCGTTCTTAGTCCCTTGCTTTATAGCCTCTACACATATGACCTCGAGCAGTCTCTTAACCCATTTTGCAACGTCCTCCAGTATGCTGACGACTTGGCCTTATACATTTCGGATATCAACATCGAAAATATCTCAGCTGACCTCAATTCTGCTCTAAACTACCTCCATACCTGGCTAACCGACCACGGCCTTTCGCTGTCGGTCGGAAAAGTAATGCAGTAAGTTTTTCCCGTGCAAGGAACACACCCCATATTATTATTAATTACGAGAATCAGTCTATCCCGTTAAAAAATCAAGCCAGGTTCCTTGGAGTTATGGTGGAGTCAAAAATGACAGGCGCCCATCACATCTCACATGTTGTTAAAAAATGTGTGAAAAATATTAATATCCTTCGGTCATTGTCGGGAACATGGTGGGGTGCTCACCCTCAATCTCAGAAGCTTTTATACAATGCTCTGATTCGTGCTCATCTAGATTACGGTTCCTTTTTACTAGAACCATGCCATAAATCCTCTTTAAAAGATCTAGACAAAGTACTATATAAATCTCTTCGAATTATAACAGGGGCTATGAAATCTTCTCCCACCAATGCACTACAGGCGGAATGTGCGGACCCCCCCTTATCTATCAGGAGACAATATTTAGCGGACAGATTCCTTTTTAAAATTATTCAAAATTCATCCCATCCTTTTATAGGTAAATTACATCAATTATCTACTGGAGGATAAGTACTGGAGACATAAATCTGCACCCTGTCTGTTTCTTAGTTTTATTAAATTCATCAGGTTCCCCTGTCCAGTATATCAGTGTACCCTAAACCCTCTCTTCGATATACTTGGTCTTATCTATCAAACCTATACTACTACTGAATTTAGGCATTGACAAAAATTCCTCTAACTCTGAAGCTCAATTACAAAAGTACATCGATAAGAATTGGGGCGATTGGCTTGTGATGTACACTGATGCTTCTAAAATGTCAGATGAAGGATGTGTTGGTGCTGCTGTCTGGATACCCAAATTTAAAATTATCCTTCATTTTAAATGTACTCCCCTTTCTTCTGTTTTTACTGGGGAAGCCATTGCAATCTTAAAAGCTCTTCTCTATATTGAGTCTCATAAGCTAGACAAAACTGTCGTATTAACAGACTCGAAGAGTTGTCTCCAGGCAATTCTGTCCAATCCTTTCCGTAACAGATCCAACTTTCCCTGTATCTTAAAAATTAG